AAGTAATAAAATCAACATTGATTGTTGATTCATCCTTTATCAAGCAAATTCAATCATGTATATCATTTGATCTTCTTATTTATCATATCAAGAATAATTCTTTTAAGTTTCATAATACTTTCAAGTTTGAATTCAAGAATAATCCACTTTATTTTGAGGAATGATTATATTTTTCAAAAGACAAAGTTTGATTACATATTCTTCAAGTTTATCATGACTTTCCAACAGCTAGACATTTTTGATACAATAAGACTTTGGAACTAATATTTAGAGATTTTTTGTGGCTTTAAATATAGAAGGAAATTAAAGACTTTGTATAATTATGTGATATTTTTTTAAGATCCAAAATTCCTCATCATTGACCTTATCGACTTCTTCAGCCATTACTTATTTCAAAACAACCATGGTCTTTTGTTTCTATAGATTTTATTATAGATCTTCTAGTCTTAGGTTTGTATGATTCTATATTTGTGATAATAGATTATTTTATCAAGATGGCACATTTTTTATTATGTACAAAATCTATCATAGGTGAAGAAATGACTAAAGTTTTTTTTGACAACATCTTTTGTTATTATAGATTGTCCAAGGATATTATATTAAATAAGAAGACTTAATTTATATCAATATTTTAGAATATGCTTTTTGAAATTCTAAAAATAGATATAAAACTTTAGTTTTTTATTCTTACATTGAAAGGCAAACAAAACAAATAAATTAAATTTTGGAATAATATTTGAGATATACCATCAACTATCATTAAGATGATTAGACTATTCTTTTGCCATTGATAAAGTTTACCTATAATAATTTGGTATATTCTTCTATTCGATAAAAACTTTTTTTTTGCCAATTATGGTTATCATCCATGACTTGATACTTTTGAATTTTTAAAAGTTGATATTCCTATGGTAGAAGATTTGACAAATTGTTTGTTAGAGCTACATGCAACAATCAAGGCATAGTTAAAAGAAGCTCAAGAATGACTAAAGAATGATGTAGATGCCTATTGTAAGGAACAACTACAATTCATTGTAGGTGACAAAATATGGATACTTCATTGCAATATCAAGACTACTTGTCTTTGTGACAAGTTGGATTATTGTAGACTTAAATCTTTTTCTATTTGTAAATAAGTCAAAATTGTTGCTTATTGATTATATCTATCAGAGTCTATAAAGATCCATCTTGTATTCCATGTATTTCTTTTTGAGCCATATAAGACAATGAATATCTCAAAAAGAAGACAAATGCCCCCTCTTCTTATAAAAGTAGATAATAATCAAGAGTTCGAGGTAGAAGAAGTCTTAGATTCAAGGTGGTGTAAAAATAACATAGAATATTATTTTCATTAGTGCGGATATGATATTAATAAATACAAATAGGAGTTAACAAAGAATCTTACAAATGCAGGAAAGAAAATTGAGGCTTTTCATTGACAACATCTATTAAAATCAAAATGAGCAATATTATCATCTATAAAAGATGATGATTTTTCTTATAAAACTTACCCTTAAAAAGAGAGGTGATGTCATGGATATACACATTTATTCTAAAAGTTACTTATATGATTAGGTAGAAGTAATATCATAATATCTTCTAGAGAAGCTTCTTGAAAGCTTTATAGATATAGTTTTGATTTTATATGTATTTGTAATTGATTGGTAGATTAAAAACTTAGTCAATAAGATAACCACATACCATACTTTGTCTTATAGTAATATAACTATATGGTAAAAAATAAAAAAAATGGATATTATTATAAAAGAGCCTAGTAGAAAGATATAGTAGAAAAATAAGGATAAATGATAAGAAAGTAATAAAAGGTTTAGTCTTAATACTATCTTTATAAAAAGAGACTTTTATTTACTTTATAGGAACATAAATGCCTCAAATCAAATTAAATGAGATAATTAATTGATATAGACATATTTAGAAAAGAGTTGCTAATAGATTCAAGCAAAAATTACCTCAAATTACCAAATATTGATACCTAGAGAGGATTGGTTGTCAACTTGGGTTGAAATCAAATTCCAAGGCACAAAACCATGCACTTTCGACCACTGAGGGGATTCTTTTAGACATCAAAGAGTGGGATTTGAAAGTAGACTTACAAAGAGATTTTTGAACATTTTTTTTTATGTCAATCAAATTAATATTCAGTTTTTGGGAGATTTTTAAAGTTAGTAATGTTCTTAGTTGGATTAGATTTTGAAAAATAAAATTATGTTTAGAAAATTGAGGATTTCTTGACTTTTGTGGTTTGTATATGAGTGAATTTTGGACAATATATTGATATTTTAGTTGTTAGTATGTGTATAATTTTGAAATCAATCAAATGGTTGGATCAAAGTATATGAAGGTTTTTACAAGTTGAGATCTCATAAATTGGAATTCAAGAATTAGTGAGTATTTTAAGATCATTAGCAATTAGTTGATTGAATTGAAGTGAATTTTTTTTTGTATAAAAACTAGACTTGATTTCTAATAGTTTAGGTATATTTTGGAAGCAATTTAATGATTCAGGGAGATATTAATATTGAAAGTTCAACATTTAGATTGGAATAGGAAGCTAGTCAACACCCGAGCGGAATTTAGGATTAATCTTCTATTTGGTAAATTTGATCTTTTTCAAATTTTTTGTGCTAATTGCCAACTTAATTATCAAAAGGTGTGTAAAATCTTAAGTAAGATCAATGGTGTAATTAATAGATATTGAGGTTCTAAATTGCCTTAGGATTAGGTTAATTTGATTAGGATTTGATTTAAAGTTTAGGAATTGGTTAGGATTTAGGATTTATTTAGGATTTAAGATTGTTTAGGATTTAGTTAGGATTTGACTTATAATTTAAATAAGGACTACTAGGATTTTAATTAGGATTAAATTAAGATTGATTGGAATTTATTTAAGATATATTTAGGATTTTATTCTAATATTTCTTTTGAATTTCTTTTGGATTTTTTCATGCTTCTTTCATAATTTCTTTGAGGTTTTTTTTAGATTTGATTCAAGCTTGATTAGCATTGTTAAGATTTAATTGGAATTATTTAAGATTCTATAAGAATTAGAATCTTGTTGTTGCAATTTTTCTTCTATCTTTCATAGCTAGGTGCTTGGTTCATTCTCAAGCAAGGCTTCACGTAATACAACAATGTGTTGGTAGCTTATGGAACAAGCTAACTATGTGGTGCAGATATAGATAACTTGGTTTATAAGTTGAGACATGTCTCTAGTTAACATATATTGGAAGTTTTATAAAACATTGCCATGTAGCTCTTAGTTAAAGAGTATGTATAGAGGCAAGAGTGAAGCATTTTTCACTCTTGTCAAGGTTTTTTTAGTCCTTATTCTTGTTTTAAGACTTTCCAGTCTTCTTGCTTTGGCAATAGCCATTCTACTTCAATATATTACCATCTTTGAAAGATTTTTTTAGTCTTTTTGAGTAATATGAAAGTGTATTGAGATTTTCTTTTCTTGAGATTCATATCCTTGACATGTGTCTATTATGTAGTTACATATACTTTGAGTGTGTTAAAAAAAAATCTTATCAAAGTGTATAACATCATAACTGATTTCAATAAAATAATTAAGATTGATCATGGATGTATGACTTTAAATGTACTTTTTTTATAATATTACAATTATTTTTAATAAATCAAAGTTATAATTTAAAAATTTATAATATTTAATAATATTTTTAAATAGAAATATTTATTTCTTATTAATTAAATTATCATTTGAAATTGATTAATATTTTTGATAATATATTTATCTTAAAAATAGATTTTATAATCTTAGTGTCAGTTGCACAAAACGTATTTGCAATTGTATTACGAGCTATTTTGTTGGCCATCTATTAATGTATATCCATTTTTAAATTAATTATTTTTCACAAATTAAATATTAGATTTCATTAAAATATTCTAATCTGATTGATTGGTCAGTAAAATGTTTTTTTGGAAAGAAAATGTTGATTGGTAAGAAGGTACATAAGGAGAATATGTCATTATAAAAATCAGAGAAACAAAAATAATAATTATAATAAAAATACAAATAAAAAAAGATTAACGTTAAAATTCAAATTTAAATTAAATGATTAGTTTAAAATAATTTCAGTAATGGCTTAAGTATGTAATATATTTTGTTTATAATTTGTTTTCAGATCTCAATATGATTGTAGTAAATCTATGTTCTTTAACAAATTTCATAAATTTAACAAGAATACATGATATCATTCTTTATTCAAATAATAATTTTAATGAAAAGTGTAAATTATTTTTATTATTCTGATAAACTATCATTTCAAAAAAAAACTTCTATATATATATCAAAAAATCATATATTGATTGCCTTTAAGAAATTATGATTTATTAATTAACTGAAAATACATCCACTTCATATTCTTTGACATTAATAACTAAGAATTCAAAATTTTAATACTTTGTGTCATTGATTAATTCAGGTTTCACTACATAATTACAGAGTTTGTTACAAGAATAAACATCATTGCTGATTTTCGCCAATAACGTGTTTAACATTGTCTTATAAAACTTATCATTTTTATTAAATTACTATTAATATATTGATTGATACACTGATTGAAATTAGAGTGTTTTTAACAGATGCTGTTATTGTGACAGGCCTAAAACTGTTTATAATATCATGATTATCATCAAAACAAGATGTTGCAAGTTAATATATTTTTGCTCATTACAGCTCTTTCTTCATATTAACTTGAATTAAAAAGATCTTCCAGATTTTTGATGATTCTTGTTGTTTAAAACCACCATCCCCACCTGATTTTTCATGCAAAGCAACTAAACTCTTATTTACACACTATTTATCCATCTTTCAGTTTCATTTAACTTTGTCACACATATCTTGTTTTCTATATATTTTGCCTTTCTCTTTTACCACATGCAGACTTTATCCATGAGTGAGTGATAAATAATTATATAAAACAAATTTAAACAGGACAACTGTAAATTCAAGTTGCAAGTGGACACAAGAAATTGTGATAATTGTAACGTTGTTATTATGCCTAGTCCTATAACAAAAAGAATGCTAATAAAGTCACTCCATTACATCCATAACTTCGTAAAATCACATATTATCCATCTCATTGTAGAAAAACATAAGTTCATGGCTTTGAATAAATGTTTTTTTACAAAAAGAATGGAAGAATATGTTGAGATTCTAGAAGTTGGGTCTATTGCACTAACAAGAGTGGCGTACGCATGCCTCTTCAACTCAGCAGGAATAGATGCCGGTCTTTAGAACAGTTGCAGGAGTGCTTAATCCTATTTGACAACAATTTTCAATGGCAAGGTCGAGCACAAGATCAATGTAGATGCGTCCTGTGCAACTTCCTAATACAAACTGTGGGGTTTGATATCTTTTGAACTCCCTGTTCGTCCCATGAGGAAATGTAATCACAACAGTATTCTACTGCAGAATTGGAGCACATTTGTCATGCACGCAGATCTTTTCCAAAACCAGTCTTGTTGCCCCAAGGAGAACCAACTTTCATGTTAGCATCCTCAAGAAGCGGATCGGTTTCAGTGCTCTCATCCGCGTCCAAAGACACAGATAACTCATCCTCTTTCGAAACCTGAGCAACAAAGCACTAAGTTGATTCAGAAAAAACTAAGAGTGACAACGCGAGCAATTCCAGAAAATAAGCTCGGTAAATGCAACCTTCTTTCAGGAGACTATTAGCAGCTAACAAAGAATATCCTAGGTAACAACTTCTGCTAGATGTACTCAGCGCAACAAAAACCAGAAAAGAAGGACATGATACCTGAGAAGTTGAAATAGGAAGTTCCTCAGCCTTCTGTTGACTTTCCAACACGCATGCGTACGAGTACAATCCCATCCCGATCACTGCTATCAATATTCCAAAGATATTGCGCCAGCTGAAGGGATTCTTTAGCAGGATATATCCAAACGCCAAAACCAGGCACGTTTTCAGGTGCCCAAGCACTTGATAAGTCACCGCAGATGTCTTTCCAATAACTAAAAACGTGCTGAAGTTGACTGATACAGATATCAGACATGAAAGCACGACGAAGAACTGGCATCCCAACAAGCCACGGTGAGCACGTAAAAGCGCATGGAAGTTTATCAATGATCCCGAACTGACATAGGAGATTAGTCAACATTACCCAGATGATTTACAGGGATCTTGGAAAGAGAAGTCATTCTTCCAAAAACACAACAACAGCCTTACCATGTAATTGATGCGTTTCCTACCCCTATTTTAGGGTGCAAGTTTGCGATTATCTTCACACAAGTTAATGTTCTAAGTAGTTAATCATGTGTACTCACCAGAACATATGAAGTATAGTCAAAACTGAACACATTTCGGTTGGTCAAGGCAGCATCAAGGAAGGGTCCCGCTACAAATAGCGTAGCAGCTTGATATGGAGAGGATTGGTACAAAAGCTGTGTAGATGAAACTTTGAACCTTTTCTGAATGGTGTTGGTCATCTACCATCCCGAAGTTCAGGAGCAAAATTTTAGAACAAACTGCAAGTTATTATCTAAGATATCATGTGATTCTGAACGCTGAAAAACTGCAGCTACCTCACCACGGAAAGTGATCCAAAACAAAAATAAAATTGAAAACATGTCCTAGACAACACAACCGGAGGACACATCTAATAATCTTTGCAAGTTCCGTTGCTTCCTAGTAGAACACTGGGAACCCAGTAAATTGCACTATACAATTATGATTAATTAAACACATCCTCACAGTTGGTTAACATACTTGACCTTTGCCAAAGACGTATCAAAATCCGTGCATGGAAAGGATACAATTTGTGCTACACAAGTAGTCACAATGGCTAAGCAAGAGATAACAGAACCAAGGAAGTTAAGCTGCATGTCTGTGACAGTCGCGATTCCCACACCAAAGAGTAATAACGCTATCGAAAACTGAATCCTCTGACTGCCATCACATCAGAAAACACACGATCTTAGTCCCTCTCAATCAAAAATGTCCAATGGATTAGCATAGTAATGGCCCCGCAATACGAATATCCAAAAAGTATTGGAAGACTTTGATCATTAACTCCACTTTTCTGACTATCGCCCTAACGATCATCAACGCTACCCTACAAGTGGTAATATCGCACAAACCTGAAGCGTTTCCTGAAGAAAACTGTTTCCAGTAACACTGTGCATGGAATGATTGCAAGTTTAGTCATCTGGGACAAAGTTGTAAAGATATTACTCGGACTCCCTGACACTCAGTTCCAGTTCACCGCAGCAGACCAGGAATCGTAACAGCAGAGAACTGATGAATTGGTAGAATTTTTTTTGATCTTTTTTTGCTTTCCTATCCTAACCCAACAGTAACCACCTTTACATTTACAATCTTCAACATACCTGATAAAATCCAACAGAGTTGAAACCTAAGCTCAAATTTAGTAAGCCGATGGAAATTCCGTTCAGTATAGCAAACCCAAACAGTGTCCGTGAGTCGAAAGGCTTGTGCTCAAATAGTTTCAATGATCGTGCAACGTGAAGTGAGCAGAATGTCACCGCTAGATGCCAGCTTGTCAATGTGGTAGCTGTACTAAACGAACACAGAAGGTCAAAGAAATACCTCTTCCCTAAACACGAAGAATTCAAAATAAGATGAAGTGAAAAGTACGTAATCAACTTTTAAAATCTCGCTATTCTAAGTGATCGCCAACCTGACAAACCTGACCACTAATGCAAATCACGTGAGACCACAACATTTGATCACTTATGATGATGAGAATTGCTGATTTCAAAAGCAAATGCAGCGCACTACTGTAACCTACTCTAATCAAGTCGCTCGCCACACATATCAAAAAACAATTTCCAGCTCTGTAGAACTTCGTCTTTTCTACGTGTCCTCGTTGTGGATAGGAGAAGAAAAAAGAAAAAAGAAAAAAAAAAAAAAAAAAAAAAAAGAGGGAGAGAGAAAGAAAGAAAGAAAGAAAAGAAGAAGAAGTATACGGGAAAGCACGTAACGTGTCCTTGTGGAAGAGGAAAGATAGTCTTAAATTGAGAAAAATAGCAGCGCAAACCACTCCATCGTAGTTCCTCAGATGTTTCCATCCCACAACAGGGCAGCGCACTGTATAAAACGGCAATCTCTGCGGAACTAAACTCAACTATTCACCTACTGAAAAACGCAGTTGTACCCTACAGTACGATACCACGCACACCGGGCCGGCCAGCTAGGAAAAAAACACATTCAGTTCACGGATCCACTGTCGTCAGACGCTCATGCTGTTGGAGGTATGTGTACCCACTGTCTCGTCCCGAAATTAAAAAATCAAAAAAGGTGAAGCTACCAAACACACAGCCCTCAACCGGAAGGAATTCTCCAAAGAGGCACTAACGAAGTAACACAACCCCAAGCATCTTCGGATTCTCCTCAAAGAACCAGCAAATTACTAGATAACTTCGAGATCTGGTTTTTAAGAAAGTAGACAGAAGCCAGGGAACACATATCCGAGGAATTCCTCGTACCGAAGCAGAAACCGAGCGTAGTGATGAGCGTCTTGTTGCAAATAACGATGGCCACCGAGGAAATGACCGACAGACTAAGCGCCCCAACTGTTCCGAGACCGCCTTTCTCCGCCATTGCGCCCCTCTCCTCCCGAATCTCCACCTCTCGCAATTCTCACCTTCCTGCCACCAATTCCTGCCGACATTGGCTCAAATCACCCCAGACGACATCAAGAAACCCTCTCTCTCTCGCTCGCCCAGCCCAAAACCCACCCCTCGATACCCACCACCCCACAGGCCACCATCTCCCACCACCCCACAGATCACCATCTCCCACCACCACCCAAATCAAACACGCGCAGCATCATAACAACAACACCTACAACACACAGAATCCCCGCACAGCACACCCACTTCCTTTCACAAAGCGCGCGCGCGAAGAAAAAAGAAAAAAGAAGAGAAAAAACCCACCTCGGTTACCGAATGTCCCGCTTGTAGGTACCACCACCACTCACACGCTCATGGATCATTCCAGTAAAGCCTGTGATCCAACAGCAGCAACAACAACAGCAGGAAATGCGAGTGATGGGTGATGATTAGCGCACGAGGAAGGGACATCTGCAGAGGGATATTATGTGGGCCATTGAATGGCGCGTCCCAGGTGCGAGAGAGAGAACATGATGCTGATGTTGATGCTTCTGATGCTTCTGTTGATGGATTTCCGGCGCCCTGCGAGAAACCCAAGTGGGGAGATCCCCGAGTAGTAGTGGCCCGACGTGCCAGCGATCCTCCTGCTCACGCCCAGCGTCGTCGCCGTCGTGTCCATCACCGCGCGTCGGTCGCCATGGCGTCGCGCCTTTCCCACATCCACTTTCTCCTACTTAAGCCATCCGGGTTTCGAAAATGTCAAACCCCTTCAGTTACCAGAGTAGAGTGGCTGCTCCCAATGGACTCAACGTAGACTTCGAAGAGGACGACGATTCGAATACTGCCGGAATGGGTTTTAGACTCTTGACTGTGTGACTTCCTGATGGAGCAGTTTTGTTGGAGGAATAATTAATATCCTTTCTTGTGGCTCTGAATTCTTCACTCGGAATTCCTTAACAAATAAATTTTGTGTATTTTTTTTTATTTTGATTTATGAAAATAGTATAATTGGTGTTAATGCTATTGGATGATTGCAACTTGTTGCAAAATAGTCTTTGAAATCTGAGTAAGTAATTTGTTGCACTTGCTTTTATAAATGCATTGCATTTGTGTATTAAATAGTCAAAGGTTTTTCCATTTTCAATATAATAGTACTGAATAAAATAAAGGATTTTAAAAAAAATTGTTTTGTTTGTTCAATAATAGAAGTGGGTCTTCTATGTTGTTTAGTGGTGTCTCATTCTATTGAGAGCATTAAATGTAGCCACCACTCTCTATAATATTTATTGTAGTTTACAATAAATGCTGTGGCTATAGTATTTGGAATGTAGTGAAGAGAAATCGTTTATCTTTTCTCCTTCTCTTTATATATAAGAGACAACCACATCCATAAATAGATTAAAAGCTCTCTCTCCTTCTATACACTCTCTTGTGTATGTACATTACTTCCAGCTACTCTTATGTCTCTCCAAACATTCTCAACACGTTATCACCATGACTACTCCTATGCACTAGTCTTGGTTCTTAAAAACTTGTATGTACCTTATCCTTTGCTTTTTCCATGTTTTTTTTTCTACACTACATTGCTTTGTACTCTACATCCTACCTACTATGCCCTTGTCATGCTGTCGTGTTGTGGTTCGGCTACTATATGAAAATAATGTAATTATGTACTTAATATATAATTTATTAAGTAACATGCTGAGAGCCATATTAGTAGATTTTAATTGGTTGTAGAATATAATTTGATTATTATCTTGAAAAGAGGTTGTTTAAAAAAATTAATACAAAATTTGTATAACTTTAATTTTCTTTTTGATAGTGGGTTTTAAAATTGGTTTTGGTTGATAGTAACTTCTAAATATTTAGAGTCACCTATGTTAGACATTGATGACATTTGAAAACTTATTTTAGTTCTTTTATTTGATGTTTAGAGTATAAATTATATAAATCTTATAAGAAAAAGGATTGAAGAAGGGTTTTGGTAGCAAAAGGAGTAATTAGGGCACCAATATAGATGAATAGAGATGGATGATGAAAATCTCCATTCCTATTGGTAAAAATCATGACCAATGAGCTTTGAGGAGGCTGCCCGAGGCCATATTAGGAATTAGGGTTAGTTTTTCGGGGCCATTTGAGCTTTGAAGGCCAGGGTCAGGAAGTTTAGGTTTTTGGCTATGGTTTTGGTACAAGTTTTGTATGATTTGGAGTTTATATGAAGGAGATATAGGCGCTCAAAGTTAAGGTGTTGATGTGGGAGCTACTGTCACTCTTTTTAGCATAACGCATGCATACAGAGGGCAATTGAGGATTAGCAACTGCAACTAGAGAGAGCACTTTTGTGGCTACACTTTTTGCATACTGCTTGCTAGATTCCAAGTTGAAGTGAAGGAGTTATTGGATTTTGAAGTTAGTGCATGCAATCTAAGGGTAGTAAGTAACCCGATTTACTAGTTGTTGTATCTTGAGCAATTTGACAAGGTTTTGGCTCAAAATTTCAGGAAATGTGTATATTCATATTAATAAATTTTATATATAAGTTTGATGACATTTGAATATTAACTTCTTGAGATATTAAGAAAATAGTGCTCAGGTGCTTGTAAATTAGGATTTAGAGCGTCTACTAGGGTTTTTTAGATGATAGAAGATTGGAAGTGAATTTACAGTTGGTTTTTTTGTAATAAAACTTAAGGGTGAATTCTATCTACCCTATAAATTTTAGACAAATTGAACAGTTAGATCAAGAGTTATGAATTTCTAAAATTCGGGAAGAGAAAATCCTTTGCGGGAAAAATATGTTTTCAAGGGATTTTGTTATATTTTGAGTTTAATGCAAAATAAAGGAGTTTTAGAAGCTAAGACAAGATTCATATAAAGGTTTAAGCTTAACTCTCTACAGCTAGATACCTAGTGTATTCACAGATAGCAAATCACGCTATATGACATTGCCTATTTTTATGATCCTACTAGTAAGTTGCCATTGTTGTATGGTAATACAATTATATAGTAAAAAATAAACAATATGGATGTTATTATAGAAAATCTTAGCAAAAAGATATAGTAGAAAAAATAAAGATAAAAGATAGAAAGATAATAAAAGATTTAGTTTTAATTCTATTTTTTTGTAGAAGAGACTTCTATTTATTTTGAAGAAGCATAAATGAGCCAAATCAAAATAAATGAGATAATAAATTAATATAAGCATGTTTAAGAGAGATTTAATAATAATATAAAGTAAAATTATCTCAAATTACTAAAAATTAATACCGAGAGAGGATTAATTGTCAATTTAGGTCAAAATTAGACCTTGAGACATAAAACTACATCCATATGGCAACTTTGGAGTTTTTTTCGTTAGATTGGAGAGTGGAATTTTGAAGAAAAATTGAAGAAAGATTTTTGGGCGTTGATTTTATATCAATTGAATTAATATTAATTTTTTGAGGGATTTTCAAAATTAGTGATGTTCTTAATTGATTTAGATTTTGAAAAACAAAACTATGTTTACAAATTTGAGGATTTCTTGAGTTTTGTGGTATGTATGTGGGTGAATTTTGGATAGTGTGTTGGTGTACTAGTTTTAAATGTGTGAAAATTTTGAGGTAAAACAAACAAATAGATTGAAGTGTGTAAAATGTTTTATAGATTGAGGTCTCAAAAATTGGAATTTGAAGGTCATTGAGTGTTTCTAAGATCTTTAGCAATTTACCAATTGGATTGAAGTGAATTTTTTTATATGAATACTAGACTTAATTTTTAATATTTAGGTGAAATTTGAAAGCAATTCAATGGTTCAAGAAGGAGATGTTGGTGTTGGAAGTTCAACATTCAGGTTGGAGTAGGAGGCCGCCCAATACCCAATTAGATTATCTTGTATTTTTCTTAATTGATAATTGTGATCAATTTCAACTTTCTCATACTTATTCCTAAGTAAGATATTAAGAAGTATATAAATTTTGAGTTGATATCAATGGTTTGATTATTAGTTGTCAAGGTTCTAATTTGCTATAGGATTTGGTTAAGGATTTGTCTATGATTGGTTTAGGCTTAGGATTTGGTCTAGGATTTGGTTAAGATTAGGATTTTCTTGAGATTTGGTTTAGAACTTGACTAAAGGTTAATTAGGATTTGTCTAGGATTTGTCTAAGATTTAAGATTTTATTAGGATTTTATTAGGATTTGATATAAGATTTGATTAAGGTCCAATTAGGGTTTCAATTAGGATTTGATCTAAGATTTGATTAAGGTTCAATTAGAATTTTAATTAGAGTTATATTAAAATTTTTATTTTTAATATTTTTTTAGGATTCTTTATTATTTCTTTAAAGATTTTAATTTCTAATATTTCTTTTAAATTATTATTATTTCTTTAAAAGTTTATTTTTATATTTTTTAAAGATTTTTTGTTATTTTTCTTTGAAATTAGTTTCAAACTTCTTTGTGTTTCTTTCATAACTTCTTTTAAATTTATTTTGGATTGGTCAAAGTTTGATTATAATTATTAAAGTTACTTAAGGTCATTTAAGATTCTATTAAACTTGATAGGATTGTTCTTGCATTTCTACTCACCTTCCACATTTAGGCACCTAATGCATTCTCAAGCAAGAATATACATAATACGACACTGTGCCTTGCTATTGATTGTTGGATCTTATCAAGTTGCTATATCCTACTATCAACTACCATGCCTTGCCATTTGCCACTACCATCTGCCATTATTTCCTCTATCTACCACTATTGTCACAGTCCATTGCACACTTTTATTTTTGCAAAAAAAAAAAAAAAAAAAAAAAAAAAAAAAATCTCTTCAAATTTTTGATATTTTTGATTTCAAATTCAATTTTATTATTTTATTTGGCTTTACATTTTAAGGTGCATTTTATTCAACTTTTTCTCCTTAATCTTATATATTTTTTTATAAATTTATTTATAATGAATACTTCAACATCCTCAACTACTTCTACTATGGTTCCAATTAATACTACTATATTCCAACATTTTCAAGCTCTTCTGTTTCCATCATTGGATATTGATGGAAATAATTACTTATTATAGGTAAAAATGGCAAAAAAATTTTATTTGCAAAATAACTCTTAGATGTAATTTTATTTGAAGAATCTTCTATTATAAGTACTTCTATTTTTTTTGCTATCCATTAGAAAGCACTTCTTTTCTTTTATTGTCATCGTGTACTTGCATTGTAACATCAATATTTGAAAGTGAAAGATTCAATTGAGCTTTGAGAGAAACTTAAATCTAGGTTTGATCATTAAAAGACCATTTTCTTTTTTAGTGCACATTATGATTGGACACATTTATGTGTCTTAAATTTTTTCAAATTTAAAAGCTTTCAACTAGAAAATATATTATATTGTCTTATAACTATGGTTGTATGGATAAAGCATTTCTAAAGAAGAAATGATTGAAAAAACTCTCTACATTTCCTTTTGCATCTACTATACTTGTACAATAATATAGGAACATGAAATTTCAAAGTCATCTTGATCTCATGTCCTATCTATTTCTTATGGAGAAACAAAATGAGCTATTCTTGCGTAATGTAGAAGCTTGTTTTATTGGAATCTTTGTTCTAGAATTTTATACATTTAATATTTCAAAGTCTAAGAAAAAATTATATAAATATAAGAAAGGTACTCATAAGTACCAAGGCAATCATA